CCGGTCGCAGAAATATTGACACTTTGTAAACTTGAGTGACTGAAAAGCGAAGGTTTCGAATTGTTCGCTCATCATGGCGTTCATGTCCGAATTCTTTGCCATTGTGGTTGCCGTTTTATCGATGAGGGCCCTCTCTGAGTCAAATTTCTGCCCGTCTCGGTCCCCTGTCAAATCCTCTTGCCCGCCAGAGTGGCAACTGTGGGGGAGCGCGTGCTATCGCCTCACTTCCTCAACGTACAATTGGGATGACGCCAAGACAGCTTGTCAAGACGTGGGAGGCAAGATGGCCGCTCCTCGCTCGCTCGAGGAACTGAACTTCATGGCAGAACTGGCACGAAAGGTGGACAGTCAATACAGGGCCTGGATTGCTTGCAATGACAAAGAGGTTGAAGGAGCTTGGGAGTGTGACGGTCAGGAAGGAGGCGAGCCCTTCTTGGTATGGGCTGATGGGCAACCAAATAGTTGGGGCGGCAATCAAGATTGTGCTAAGTTAGCCGCACGTTTTAATGACACGATGGATGATGCACGATGTGAGAGTCCATGGAGGGCTTTTTGTGTTCGTCATGCAGCTTGCACTCATCTCCCAACCCAACCCCGTCGATACTGCCTCTCTACCGACACTCACGGCCGCATTCTCAACTCAACCTGCCTCCTCGACCACAACATCCGGGAGTTTATCACTGAGGGTTTGGTTGCCTGTGGCTCGGCCTGCGCCAATGAGTCAGGATGTCGCTCCTTCAACATCAAGAAAACAAAAGAAGGGAAGAAAGTATGCCAGCTGAACAACAGCACAAGCTCCGAAGTTAAGGACAAGTTTCAGAAGACCGATTACTTCTGTATGTACTCTGAGGTGTGCGTTGGTTAATCAGTGACTGGAACCGAAAAGATGCACTCTACAAACTTAAACTTGCAAACTGACTAAAAACAATTCGAATTTGGTTCTTGAAAACCGGATTACAAAATATTCGCAAGACATTTGTTCTTAATATTAAGATCACGTGGCATTTCTTTCTTTCTTTCCTTTTTTTGTTCTGAAGAGGAAAAAAAGCTTGGGATATACTTTGAGGTAAAGAAGATGAATATTTTGTTCTTTTTGCGAACACGACAAGGATTGGATTGAAAGCGTTTTGAACTGATGAAAATCGTTGGAAGGTTTTTCCCCCGCAAATTACATAACAACTTTGAAGCGTTAATGCATTGTACATTCGCAGGTAGTTCTAGTTTTTGCAATGTTTGCATTTTTTCAGCAACAAAAATATAAGATCGATTAGGCCAAAAAAAAAATAAGTCGGTCTCTGGTCAGCGCGCGCGTCGATTTTAATCATGCGCGTCGATCTTTTTTTCCCCCAAAATGTTCCGCGGTAGCTCCAACAGCGCCCTCTATTGCCGCACCTCCTCATTTTTTTTTTTTACCAAAGAGCACCAAGGAATGGGAAATTGCACCAAGGCAAATGATCGAGAGCACCAAGGCAAATTATGGAGGAAACCAATGTACATGAGGACACCAAAAAAGCAAAAAAATACCCCACCTTGTCTGTTCAATCCAAGCTTGAAAAAAAAAAGCGGCGTCCCCGCGTCAATTCCGGAACTTTGGTCTGACTAGAGACCGAATGGCTTTTTTTTTGGCCTTAAATCGGTGATTTAATATTTCTTAAATTATTACCATCGTGCTTTTCTTTATTTACACAAACTGAAGGAATTTTAAATCACTCACGTGTATCATTAACAGTCCTTTCAATTATGGCTGCCCCAATGGTTTTGAAAACTGAATTGTATCAGTTTGGAAGCGAATTAGAATTTCTCAAGTTGCCCAATGTGTTCAAATCACATTTATTTGAAAATTTCAAAACGATGGCATGAAAACATGTCTACAGTCCATTCATTTGAATTCACATTTGTTTGCGCAACGATGAATCTGTACCCTAGTTGCTTTGTAAAATTTCATTTTTCGAATAAATTAATTATTGGTGTTGTAGGTAAAGGAAAAATAACTCTCACAATATTTTTCTTTGTGATATATTGATTGGGATTTTATAACAACTTTAAGCAATCTAACTTCATAACAGGAACCGGGGAGGGGTGGGCATACACCTGTCACAATATGTGACAGTGGGGTACCCCCATGTCCGTATAATATACACACCCTAGACTATTGCTGTGACCCCCCCCCCCCGATATCTCCAAAGAATTCCTGAGATTCTGGTAACACAATGACCAACACAAAAGACGGGGGGAGGGGGTCCCTCTGTCACATATCTTGCTACATAATTGTGCGTGGTCAGGTGACCTGCACGTGACTGTGATGGAATGAACCGACATGCACCGACCTGAAACTAATGTTTCAACTTGGATAAGCGGGAATCATGGGTCGAGTGAGGGTTAAGGGTAGCATCGATTTAAAACAGGGGTCTTCACAACCTCGTCCCCAGGGTGTCGAACAGAACGCGCCCATCACTACCTGCTCTCTCACCCTGGTATTGGATCATTTGCATGTGCAAGATTTTTGAACACGTATGCAAATGAGGAACAGTCTGGTGCCTGGATATGCGTTACATAAGCACTCCTGTTTTGCCTCAGCACATGGTAGTTTCCCGCTGAGTTTCTTGTAGCATTTGTCACCCCACTGGCTCCAAGCAGGAGGACACGCCCCTCTAATGGAGGCCCCACACCTCTCATTACCACCAGTGCATCTGATTATAAGACAAAGGCTTATCAAGCCACAGGTGTCACGTTTAGGCAACATCATTTAAACAGTTACCAGACTCGTTCCGAGTGTAGACCCTTTCTCCCACACCCTCAATTGCCCCTAAGATGCCAATATCCCAATTGTCTTCACCGCTATGGTCATGGCCTCGTGGTTTATATTAAACGCTGCATCACAAAAAAGAATTTCGTACTCGGCGAGTATAATGTAGCTCATTTGTTTTAATAGCTTTTCCTGAGTTGCATATTATTTCTGGCCTTCACAAGCGCCATCCATCCGAAGCTTTACATTTTCATCAAATTTGTATTTACCGTAGTTACCATGACAACGATCTGTGTACAGTTGCCAAAAAAACACATTTTTAATCAGGAGGGAGATGATTTATTGGCAAATTCTGTAATTGACTGCAGTCCTGTGGCTTCTATGAGTACGCAGCTTTACAAAACAGATTCTGTTTATAGTGTGGTTGTTGTTTTTTTTTGTTTTTTTTAGGGCAGTGAGCATGTTTTCCGGAACGAAGTCGGTTGTTTCTCTATGTGTTATTTTGTTATTTTCAAATTGGCAGTAGCTTTCAGAGTTTTGAATTAGTTCAAGAATGTGTTTTTATAATTTTGTCCGCGATTTTGGGGGACAAATTGGCACTAGCTGGCGGAGTTATGATTCGGAAAACGGGCAGATTTCTAGATTTCTAGTTGGCAAAAGTGTGCGGGTAAGATACCAAACAAAAAGTAAAACAGACGAACTTCAAATTCATTAAAACGGGTATTTCTTCCTATGCAAAAGGAATGTGTTGCTTTTATACCAGGAACATTGACTTTCATTCGGATTGTATTTGTCGCGTGTAAAAGACTTTATTGTTTCTGTCAATTTTTTTTTATATTAGTTGATGATTTCTCATGAAATTAAATTTCAAAATATAAAATATCATGAGAAATCACCTGGTATTTCTCGGGTTATTGCTAGAGAATTTTTTCCCAAGTGTTTTAATGCCCGAGTGTTTTATTTTTCAATGAACGTTGACTTTCATTCGGATTGTATTTTTCGGCGTAAACATCGTATCTCCCAAAGTTACAGCAGATTGACAATCTATAAATGGATAAATAGCTCAAATTCCCCAAACTATTAATGTGTATTCCAAGTAGGTCATGTTGCATTGCATTTCAATGAAGGATTTTAAAACAGTTGCCGAACTAAAGTTTTTTCCATGCAGTACTCACTAGACGCCCCAGCATCGCAATCAATGTCAGACTTTCTATTTTCACTTTTCCATCCGTGGCGTTTTCTGAGCTGAATTTGCATCTATTTGGGAGGAATTATTACATTATAACGCTATCCGTGAATTGCCATTCGCATGCACCGGACCTGTCTTTTCCCATAAATAAAAGAGGAATTGGAGCCCGATACGAACATGAAAAAAGGCTCCTCCATGCAGACATTTCTCGGCGGTGGTGCACTGTACCCCGACTCGTTTACGTGAAAAAACGATACGGGCCTTCGGGACGCCCGTCTGTTAAAACTGATAATGTAATAACCAACGGATAACGTATCAACAGCCGATAATGTCACACGTTATACATGTATGTGTAGGAATTTTGTCACCAATAAAACCGAGGGTTTGTGCTAATGATTACCAAAAAGACACAGAAGGCCATAGACAGGAATCCAATTAGTTAATGATTGGTGGGATAATAAAGTAGCAATTATGAGCAAAGTATGCAATTACTCAAAGGTTTCACTCTTTGTCAAGTAATTTGGTACGTGCTCGGCGAGGCGTTTATCATTTATAATAAAATGGTGGCTAATTCCTTTCGATGGGAAACTGTTTAACCTTGCATTAGTGTAGACTTGATGACAAGTCGTTTGATAGTGGTATTTTGTCCGCGAACTTCAGTCGAACATAATCGGCCGCCGGTTGCGACAAATCTAACGACTTGACGATTGCGTTCTCGCACTGTTGCGCAAGCAGCGTAATGCGTATGCAGTGCGCTTTTGCGGTGAGATCCAATCAGGCTGGCAGACGGCTTTAATTCCAAATTTTGTTTGTATTTTGTTCGACGGTTTCTCGTGAATATTTCAGTGTAAATGATGTGCTGGTGTTGCTAATCGGTATGCGCTGCCACTCAGTACGGTGTTAAACAATAAAGACGTATTAAAGGGCCGCTAAGTCCTGAAATCCCCGACAATTTCTTGTTATGAATTGTTTACTTATCCTATTTCATTGCAAACATCTGGTTGAAAGGAAACCAACCTAAAATGTTCTATCCTGCAAAATGTATTATTGCATTCAGTCGTCGTTTGTATTTGGTGTGGCTATGGCAACGATGATTACTGTAGCCATGGTAACGCACTGAAACACTGTTGACGAGTGCGACACGTTGCTCATATTGCTGTTCCACAGCGCGGAGTTGTCATTTCGAGCCAGCCAGTGATTCTCGCCGTTTCACAGCCAAGTCCGGTCGCAGAAATATTGACACTTTGTAAACTTGAGTGACTGAAAAGCGAACGTTCCGAATTGTCCGCTCATCATGGCGTTTATGTCCGAATTCTTTGCCATTGTGGTTGCCGTTTTATCGATGAGGGCCCTCTCTGAGTCAAATTTCTGCCCCTCTCGGTCCCCTGTCAAATCCTCTTGCCCACCAGAGTGGCAACTGTGGGGGAGCGCGTGCTATCGCCTCACTTCCTCAACGTACAATTGGGATGACGCCAAGACAGCTTGTCAAGACGTGGGAGGCAAGATGGCCGCTCCTCGCTCGCTCGAGGAACTGAACTTCATGGCAGAACTGGCACGAAAGGTGGACAGTCAATACAGGGCCTGGATTGCTTGCAATGACAAAGAGGTTGAAGGAGCTTGGGAGTGTGACGGTCAGGAAGGAGGCGAGCCCTTCTTGGTATGGGCTGATGGGCAACCAAATAGTTGGGGCGGCAATCAAGATTGTGCTAAGTTAGCCGCACGTTTTAATGACAGGATGGATGATGCACGATGTGAGAGTCCGTGGAGGGCTTTTTGTGTTCGTCATGCAGCTTGCACTCATCTCCCAACCCAACCCCGTCGATACTGCCTCTCTACCGACACTCACGGCCGCATTCTCAACTCAACCTGCCTCCTCGACCACAACATCCGGGAGTTTATCACTGAGGGTTTGGTTGCCTGTGGCTCGGCCTGCGCCAATGAGTCAGGATGTCGCTCCTTCAACATCAAGAAAACAAAAGAAGGGAAGAAAGTATGCCAGCTGAACAACAGCACAAGCTCCGAAGTTAAGGACAAGTTTCAGAAGACCGATTACTTCTGTATATACTCTGAGGTGTGCGTTGGTTAATCAGTGACTGGAACCGAAAAGATGCACTCTACAAACTTAAACTTGCAAACTGACTAAAAACAATTCGAATTTGGTTCTTGAAAACCGGATTACAAAATATTCGCAAGACATTTGTTCTTAATATTAAGATCACGTGGCATTTCTTTCTTTCTTTCCTTTTTTTGTTCTGAAGAGGAAAAAAAGCTTGGGATATACTTTGAGGTAAAGAAGATGAATATTTTGTTCTTTTTGCGAACACGACAAGGATTGGATTGAAAGCGTTTTGAACTGATGAAAATCGTTGGAAGGTTTTTCCCCCGCAAATTACATAACAACTTTGAAGCGTTAATGCATTGTACATTCGCAGGTAGTTCTAGTTTTTGCAATGTTTGCATTTTTTCAGCAACAAAAATATAAGATCGATTAGGCCAAAAAAAAATAAGTCGGTCTCTGGTCAGCGCGCGCGTCGATTTTAATCATGCGCGTCGATCTTTTTTTCCCCCAAAATGTTCCGCGGTAGCTCCAACAGCGCCCTCTATTGCCGCACCTCCTCATTTTTTTTTTTACCAAAGAGCACCAAGGAATGGGAAATTGCACCAAGGCAAATGATCGAGAGCACCAAGGCAAATTATGGAGGAAACCAATGTACATGAGGACACCAAAAAAGCAAAAAAATACCCCACCTTGTCTGTTCAATCCAAGCTTGAAAAAAAAAAGCGGCGTCCCCGCGTCAATTCCGGAACTTTGGTCTGACTAGAGACCGAATGGCTTTTTTTTTGGCCTTATATCGGTGATTTAATATTTCTTAAATTATTACCATCGTCCTTTTCTTTATTTACACAAACTGAAGGAATTTTAAATCACTCACGTGTATCATTAACAGTCCTTTCAATTATGGCTGCCCCAATGGTTTTGAAAACTGAATTGTATCAGTTTGGAAGCGAATTAGAATTTCTCAAGTTGCCCAATGTGTTCAAATCACATTTATTTGAAAATTTCAAAACGATGGCATGAAAACATGTCTACAGTCCATTCATTTGAATTCACATTTGTTTGCGCAACGATGAATCTGTACCCTAGTTGCTTTGTAAAATTTCATTTTTCGAATAAATTAATTATTGGTGTTGTAGGTAAAGGAAAAATAACTCTCACAATATTTTTCTTTGTGATATATTGATTGGGATTTTATAACAACTTTAAGCAATCTAACTTCATAACAGGAACCGGGGAGGGGTGGGCATACACCTGTCACAATATGTGACAGTGGGGTACCCCCATGTCCGTATAATATACACACCCTAAACTATTGCTGTGACCCCCCCCCCCCCATATCTCCAAAGAATTCCTGAGATTCTGGTAACACAATGACCAACACAAAAGACGGGGGGAGGGGGTCCCTCTGTCACATATCTTGCTACATAATTGTGCGTGGTCAGGTGACCTGCACGTGACTGTGATGGAATGAACCGACATGCACCGACCTGAAACTAATGTTTCAACTTGGATAAGCGGGAATCATGGGTCGAGTGAGGGTTAAGGGTAGCATCGATTTAAAACAGGGGTCTTCACAACCTCGTCCCCAGGGTGTCGAACAGAACGCGCCCATCACTACCTGCTCTCTCACCCTGGTATTGGATCATTTGCATGTGCAAGATTTTTGAACACGTATGCAAATGAGGAACAGTCTGGTGCCTGGATATGCGTTACATAAGCACTCCTGTTTTGCCTCAGCCCATGGTAGATTCTCGCTGAGTTTCTTGTAGCATTGTCACCCCACTGGCTCCAAGCAGGAGGACACGCCCCTCTAATGGAGGCCCCCACACCTCTCATTACCACCAGTGCATCTGATTATAAGACAAAGGCTTATCAAGCCAACGATGAGACGTTTTGGCAACATCATTTAAACAGTTACCAGACTGGTTCCGAGTGTAGACCCATCCTCCCACACCCTCAATTGCCCCTAAGATGCCAATATCCCAATTGTCTTCACCGCTATGGTCATGGCCTCGTGGTACTTATTAAACGTTGCATCACACAAAAGAATTTCGTACTCAGCGAGTATAATGTAGCTCATTTCTTAATAGCTTTTCCTGAGTTGCCTATTATTTCTGGCCTTCACATGCGCCATCCATGCGTAGCTTTACATTTTTCATCAAATTTGTATTTACCGTAGTTACCATGACAACGATCTGTGTACAGTTGCCAAAAAAAACATTTTAAACCAGGAGGTAGATGATTTATTGGCAAATTCTGTAATTGACTGCAGTCCTGTGGCTTCTATGAATAGAGTATGCAGCTTCACAAAACAAATTCTATTGATCGTGTGGGTTTTTTTTTTTTTTTTTTTTTTTTTTAGGGCAGTGAGCATGTTTTCCGGAACGAAGTTGGTTGTTTCTCTATGTGTTATTCTGTGAATTTTGTTGAACATGAATTTTTAGAATTTTGTCCGAGATTTGGTGGGCAAATTGGCACTAGCTGGCGGAGTTTTGAGTTGGAGCATGTGGACTTATTGATTTGCCCGCGATTTGGGGTTCAAATTAGCAATAGCTGGCGGAGTTTTGAATTAGTTCAAAAATGAGTTTTTATAATTTTGCCCGCGATTTGGGGGACAAATTGGCACTAGCTTGCGGAATTATGATTCGAAAAACGGGTGGATTTCTAGATTTCTAGTTGGCAAAAGTGTGCGGGTAAGATGCCCAAACAAAATAGTAAAACAGACGAACTTTAAATTCATTAAAACGGTTTTTTTTTTCCTATGCAAAAGGAATGTGTTGCTTTTATTCCAGGAACACTTATTCCGACTTTTATTCGGGTTGTATTTGTCGTGTGTGAAAGACTTGATTGTTTCGGTCATTTTTTTTTATATTAGTTGATGATAATATAAAATATCATGAGAAATCACCTGGTTTTTCTCGGGTTATTGCAAGAGAATTTTTTCCCAAGTGTTTTAAATCCCGAGTGTTTTATTTTTCAATGAACGTTGACTTTCATTCGGTACCATATTTCAATAGGGGGCGCTGTTCAAATCCGACGATTATTTACACTAGATAACAGAATGGTATACCGTATTTTGAACAGGCGGACGTTATACCAGCATATTTTTTTTTTGGGGGGGGGTGTCGGGGGGGGGTGTTTCGACTGATTTTTTTGGAATGTGTATAATAATTTTTTTTTTTGACAGAGCTGGGGTTTTTTGTTTACTTATTCTATTTCATTACAAACATCTGGTTGAAAGGAAACCAACCTTAAATGTTCTATCCAGCAAAATGTATTATTGAATTCAGTCGTCGTTTGTATTTGGTGTGGCTATGGCAACGATGATTACTGTAGCCATGGTAACGGACTGAAACACTGTTGACGAGTGCGACACGTTGCTCATATTGCTGTTCCATAGCGCGGAGTTGTCATTTCGAGCCAGCCAGTGATTCTCGCCGTTTCACAGCCAAGTCCGGTCACAGAAATATTGACACTTTGTAAACTTGAGTGACTGAAAAACGAACGTTTTGAATTGTCCGCTCATCATGGCGTTTATGTCCGAGTTTTTTGCCATTGTGGTTGCCGTTTTATCGATGAGGGCCCTCTCTGAGTCAGATTTCTGCCCCTCTCGGTCCCCTGTCAAATCCTCGTGCCCGCCAGAGTGGCAATTGTGGGGGAGCGCGTGCTATCGCCTCACTTCCTCAAAGTATAATTGGGAAGACGCCAAGACAGCTTGCCATGACGTGGGAGGCAAGATGGCCGCTCCTCGCTCGCCCGAGGAACTGAACTTCATGGTGGACTTGGCCCGAAAGGATGACAGTCAGTACAGGGTCTGGATTGCTTGCAATGACAGAGATGTTGAAGGAGCTTGGGAGTGTGATGGTCAGGAAGGAGTCGAGCCCTTCCTGGAATGGGCTGATGAGCAACCAGATAATTGGGAAGGCAATCAAGATTGTGTTGCAATAGCCGCATGGCACAATCACAGGATGGATGATGGTCACTGTGATGGTTCAAACAGGGCTTTTTGTGTTCGCCATGCAGCTTGTGCTCATCTCTCAACCCAACCCCGTCAATACTGCGTCTCTACCGACACTCACGGCCGCATTCTCAACTCAACCTGCCTCCTCGACCACAGCATCCGGGAGTTTATCACAAAGGGCGTGGTTGCTTGTGGCTCAGCCTGCGCCCAAGAGCCCCGATGCCGCTCCTTCAACATCAAGAAAACCGAAGACGGGAAGAGAATATGCCAGCTGAACAACAGCACAAGCTCCGAAGATAAAGAAAAGTTTCAGAAGACTGATTATTTCTGTACTATGTACTCAGAAGAAATGTGCTCTGACTAGTCATTACAATAATAGAACAATTTCAGAGATGCACTCTACGAACTTGTGAATTCGGATTTGGTCTTAGATGATGAAACATTCGCGAGACACTTGTCCTTAATATTTAGATCACGTGGCAACTATTCAGTTTTCTTTCGTTCTGAAGAGAAACAAAAGCTTTGGATGCACTTTGGAATAAAGAAGATTAATATTTTGCTCTTTTGTGAACAAGAAAAGGATTAGATTGAAAGCGTTTTGAACTGATGAAAATCGTTAAAAACATTTTCACAGATTACATAACAATTTTGAATCGCTAATGCATTGTACATTCGCAAGTAGTTCTTGTTTTTGCAATGTTTGTATTTGTCAAAACCGACAACAAATATTGTAGATCAATTTTATCGTTTATTTCATGTTTCTTTAATTATTACCATCGCCATTTTCTTTATTTACACTAAAAAAAGGAATTTTTAAATCACTCATGCACGTGTATCATCCGGGAGTTTATCACCGAGGGCGTGGTCGCCTGTGGCTCAGCCTGCGCCAAGGAGTCAGGATGTCGCTCCTTCAACATCAAGAAAACAAAAGAAGGGAAGAAAATATGCCAGCTGAACAACAGCACAAGCTCCGAAGATAATGACAAGTTTCAGACGACCGATTACTTCTGTATGTACTCAGAAGTGTGCGTTGGTTAATCAGTGACTGGAACCGAGAAGATGCACTCTACAAACTTAAACTTGTACACTGACTAAAAACAATTCGAATTTGGTTCTTGAAAACCGGATGACAAAATATTCGCAAGACACTTGTTCTTAATATTAAGATTACGTGGCATTTCTTTCTTTCTTTCTTTCTTTTTTTTGTTCTGAAGAGGAAAAAAAGCTTGGAATATACTTTGAAGTAAAGAAGATGAATATTTTGTTCTTTTTGTGAACACGACAAGGATTGGATTGAAAGCGTTTTGAACTGATGAAAATCGTTGGAAGTTTTTTCCCCCGCAAATTACTTAACAACTTTGAAGCGTTAATGCATTGTATATTTGCAGGTAGTTCTAGTTTTTGCAATGTTTGCATTTTTTCAGCAACAAAAATATAAGATCGACTATATCGGTGATTTAATATT